GGCACCAGCGTCCACACTCATCCCCAAGGGATGCAGGAAACCACAAAACGGCCTCAGACTCATGGGTGGGAGGCAGAGGTCTGCAGAGCAGATGTAACTCCTGACAGCTAATGCCAAGCCAGGAGGAAACTTTCAACTGAAACCCCAGCAAAAAATGGGCACAAATCCAAAACTGAGGGGGCTTGGCCATATAGCAAAGGTCCTGGAGGGAACTCACGGCCAGGATTTACATCCAGGCGAGATGGAGCCAAAATACTTAGAGGTGAGATGGGGTCCTCCCACCCTCAGCGGTCTGGAGCCAAAGGAGAGGGGCCAGGAAAACAGCACGAGGGCTGAAGTTGCATCAGCTGCAGCCCTGCAAGTCCACGGGGGTGAGCAGCATCTCCTTGTCAGGGAGTTACCCCCTCGCACGAGGCTTTGGAAACCTCGCAGAGCAGAGAGCCTACGGTCCCGGAGCCGCCCGGGGTCCCAGCTGTGGGGAGGGAAGGGAGGAGTCGCTTGGGAGAGAGGAAAAGGTCCGCGGGGCAGGTTTGGGGCAGGAGAGATGTGTTATTGTGAAGAGGGCATTTGTTTGCCCCGGAGGAAGGAAGAGGGGGGTTGGCCCTGCTCCTGAAGGCAGGTACATGGCTGAATTTATCCGGGGGGAAGGAAGCAGGGAAGGAAGCGAGCCCGGAGCGCTGGACGGCTCCATCGGACCTCACGGGCGGTCATGGAAAGAGGCCCAACAGCGATGTGGCTTCGCACAGCTCGGCAGGACACAGCTGCACCGGAGGGTGGGGGTGCAGTGAGCCCCCCAACAGCTGCGGTGCCAGGCCAGGCTCTCCCCAGCCATGCGACGCCCTGCACGGCGTGCACCCCAGCAGCACTGCACCCCCAGCAGCACTGCACCCCCAGCAGCACTGCACCCCATGGGACAGGGAGATGCTTGCTCCCAAGCAGGGTTTGAAGGCTCTGCATGCCTGTGCAGACCACAAGACACAGGGAAAGGGAGCAGTGGGTTTGCTCCGGTTATTCCCAGAGAGGCAAAGGACGTGCCCAGAAAAGTTTGCCTCGGCTATGCAGCGGCAGGAACAGCCGGTTCCTCCTCCCCGCTCCACCGAGTCCTGCACAAACTCAGAGACAGGGAGTGGGAACTTCATCAGCCACGGATCAGGGGGGATTGGAGTCTTGCAGTTTTCTAAGGCACAGGGGAAAAAAACAGGCGTAGATGAAAAAGGACTGGAGTCAGCATTTTAAGCGAGGGTAAGAACATCATCCTTCAATCTGCACTTCCTTGATTGCTGCGACAGCCGCCTTTCACAAG